CACTCTGTCTCAGGTTAGTGGGCATCATTCAGGAGATTATCCCGTCGGAAAATGTGCCACTACGTCACACATGGCTAGATGTGGCTGACACTCCATTTCTAACTGCTAAATTTCAGATTTTCCACCTCAAGTTTCTGCCTCTTTGGATGCGCTTCATGCATCAAATGCTTCAAAACGCACAGCAACATTTCTCAATGCCCCACCATAGACTTTGTATGTAAACCCGATGCCTCTGACACTCAAATCTCGTTAGATCTGAATGCAGCATTACATGCGCTCATTCAAGTTTTAAGTGGTGATCTCTGTTTTGGCATTGGGTATGGGTCCGCATGAGACGCCATTCCGGTCCGGATCCRGACCCAGGTCCGCCTATTGGTGACCCCTGGTTTATGGTAATAGTCAATAATGCTAAAGACAAGGGCCTCCCAGTACTCATTGGCTGTAATGTGTGCTGGGGGAGCTCTGATATTAACCCCAGAGTCAGATCTGTTAGAATACTTGCTGACAGAAGACCTGCATGTCTTTAATCAGGTCAATGTACCTACAGTCCAAACTGTTAATAGGGAGGAGGTCATTGATATACAGTAACAGTCGGGTTAAAATATGTGGCTGGGAGGTGTCTCCAGAGGAAACTATGTCAAACCAMCAACAAATTCAGTTTAAGCTGAAGATGGGGAAGCCACACCCAGTCACTTACAGAAACACAAAAAACACTGACTGGAATCTGTTGATCAGCAGTTTMTCCCAGTTGATGGGAGAACTGCCAGGTTGAAAACTGTACAAGACATTGAGACGAAGGTCACAAGCATGACTGATGCTGTGCAAACTGAGCCTGCCTGGAGAAAGTCTGGAGGCCTTCAAAGCAGCTGTGGACTCCAGATTTTTCTGGGCTCCGCAAGACAGTAAGATGTAAATGGCGAAGATACAGAACCAAACCAAGTAAAACCAGGTGGGAACAGTATGCACAGTCCTGTAATCACTATAAGTGTTTTAAAGGAGTGTAAGAGATTTTCTTTGATAAATTTTGTGAAGATGTTGTAGGAAAAGGTGCTTAAGGTGAATTAAGCTTCTCCCACATCTCTCATACTCAAGGTTATGAGGAAAACTTTACCAAGGTATTTCTTTCTCATTACTTGTTAATATCTTGACTGTGCGAAGTGAAAAGTKACACAATAAGTGAACGTTCAGACGAGTTCAAGTTGATTCATAAAAGACTATGCAATTATTTATTTACACAAACTGAACAGATCATAAGTTACACTTGATTGTGGTTATTCCTATAACAGTGTCAGAGTTAAATGGCATAAAACTTGCGTCCGACTTTAGTCCACATCAACTCAGATTACTTATATAGAACAGTAAAA